AAAAAAAAAAAAAAAAAAAAAAGAGAAACACGAGAGATAAAGAGAGAAAAAGAAAAAAAGAGAGATTTGTGTGTGTGCGCGTGTGCATGTATGTGTGCGTGTGCATGTGCGTGTGCGTGTGAAAACAAACGGAACAAGTATTCACGGGAGAGAAATGGTTAAATGTAATGAAAGAAAGCGAGGGATTGGAAAGACTTCGAGAGAGTACGTGAAAATAAAAGTTAGAAATGAAGGCTGATTTTTAAATCCGTAAAATTCGAATTCGAAACTTTCGAAATCCAAAATATATATTTTTTATATTCTTTCTCGATTTTTTCTTTTTTTTTTATGAAGATTTTGTCAAATGTAAAAATCTTAGTTAATTTAAAAAATTAAATTATTTTATTTTTTCTCTATATAAATTATTACAATGAAGTATATCAATCAATGAAATTATATTAATTAAAAGAAGTTCAAAATTTGTTTAAATACAAATATTATATTATTTTTAATATATAAGTTTTAATATAATAATTTTTAAGAATTTCAAGTTATAAAAATAGCAAAAATTTCAAATTCAATTAATTCGAAACTTTTGTAGTTTCGAAGGTACAAACGTCCCATCCCTAACAAATATATGAAAAGAAAGAATAGCACACTCGAAATTAATTGAATCGCAGAGATGCATGAATGCGCGCGAAATATACGTGTAATTGTTTTCCATTTTATGTGTGCCAAAAAGTAAAATCGAATGAAACGAGATAAATGCAAGAGAAGAAGAAAGAGAGAGAAAGAGAGAGAAAGAATATATATTGAGATCATGAAAATCATCTGGCGAGCGGCTCAAACCGTGTGCCAAGCTTATATAAAAAAAAAAAAGAGGAAGAGATAAAATCGCGGACTGATTAATTACGTGTGCCAAATCATCGTTACACAGACACATATGTACGTATATACATGCATATATATACACGCATATATAGAGACATTACACATATACGTATATACAATTGTCGTATCGCTGCAGCTGTTCTCGAATAGCGAACTCTTTGCCTGCCGATTTTTCGTGTTCCCTTTTATTCGCGTATTTAAAGAGAACCAGCCGTGTTCTTCGTTCTCCGTGCTTCTTTGTTCGCACTTAGAATAATTCTGCCTTCCTTAATTAAAATTTTCTATCTTGCATTTTTTTTTTAATTTTTCAATATACGCATTGAAATATTTTAAATTCTATTTAATTATTCTTTAACTACTTTCAAATAAAATTAGAAACTTCTTTTTGATTGCTTTTTAGAAATATGAAATTAGATCTAATATTATTATTCTTAGCAAGAATATCTTCTTTTTTTCATATATTAGAAATGTTTGATAAAATATTTTAATTGAGGAGGTAAGAATTATTCTTGGATCCATGGATTCATTATGGATCTTATTTGTAGATATATTTGTACGGAAGATAGGTTTTCCTTCTTTTCTAATATTTTATGCGTTTTATGCGGAAAGAGAGTGATAAATTTTTATGCAAAAATGGAGTAGGATTTGTATATTTGTAAGTAGTGGCTTTGATAGGGAAAGACAGGAAAAATCGGCATCGAGCGAGGGAAGAGATTTGGTTAGATTGCGACTTATAAAATGTCCTTTTGGAAGAATTTTTGTAGATTTTTCTCTAATGCGATTATATTCTTCTTAAATAATAATTCTTAAATGCTTTGTTGGTAGAAAAAAATTTATAGAAATTTTTATCCTGTTATATTTTACATGATATTTTTTTTAATTCAGTTAATTAATAGATTTTTTATATTGTTTTCAATATGAAAAGCATTTTAATAAAAGTCTTTTAATAATTATCAAAATTAATTTAATTCTAATATAGAAGAATTTATTAACCACTAAAAGCTATCAATAATAATATTTGTGTCAAACAATATAATTATCTTTATATCTAGTCTTTTTTATACAATTTATATAATTATATAATTTTATTACAGAATCTTAATAAATTATTATTGGATTGCATTAACGATCAATATAATCATTATATCTGTTTAAAATAAAATAAAAAATTATACACTAATAAAAGGAAAGAGAATATTTCTTTTAATATTTTAGATTTCTATGTAAATAATTATAAAATTACAAAGTAAAAAGATACAATTTTATATAACGGGTAAATATCTTATAAAAACCTTTATCAAAGCATTTAAGAAAAAACATTTCATCAGTTGCAATCGATCAAAAAAATAAAGAATTTTATCGAATCATACGTAAATTAAGAAAGGCCCAAAAATGGGTCTTAAAGGACAGGGATTATATAAAAAATATACGATGGTACGATCTTCTACCGTTGGGATCTTTAATTGTTTGCATCGATATTCACGATCCATTCGAAAGATCGTCTCGTCTAATGGAGATAACGGGGTAACGTGCTTTCGTTATACGAACCAAACAAGTTGATACACGTCCTCCCATTTATGTGATTTTTCATCTTGTCTTCTTTTTTATTTATGCTCGTCTTCTTCGATAGTTGTACGAATTCACATTGAATACATTGATGAATTTCCAGCGT